GACGGCTGCACTTACTGTTCTTCAGCAGCTTCAATACTGTCCATCTTGGTGCAGGTCTGCCGTTCACTCCTCTCCATTCTGTCCTCATTCCTGGATCAGAGGAAGGAAATGATTATATTATGAACCCAACACAGTAAACGGCGCTAGAATTACGGCGATCGGTTGTGATTTGGACATGCTGCGCCAACACAGAGTCCGAGACTATGCCGGCAGTTACCCAACGGAGAAGGAAGCGCAAACGTAAACAAAAGAGGAGGAAGGGAGCCGGGATCCATGCTAGGCTAAAGGCTAACCCCTCCAAACCAGCAGGACCGTCCTCCTACTCTCCAATGTCCGCTCCCTCCACAACAAGCTGGACGTTTGCTGAGAGAAACCCACAGAGAGTGGAGGGACTGCTGAGTGTTTGCTTTAACAGAAACATGGCTCCATGACAACATCCCAGACGGACATACAGCTGGAGGGGATGCAGACAGGCAGACAGCGAGCTCTGTGCAGCATCTGCGGCTTCATCATCGTGACACCATCATGTGTGTCTTTGTGTCCCTGAAGATCTACCAGGACCTGAAGAGGTTCAACGAAAGGCGGTGAACATGGACACAGCGCCCCCTTCAGGAGACAGCGAGAGTGAACGCTTAGCATTCTGCAAAACTTACTAATTAAATGATCCTGAAGAAACGCTCTCTCATCTTGCCTGTGTGTACAGCAAAATGACAATAAACCTGATTTGATTTGATTTGATTTGATTTGATTTGATTAAGGCTGCAACAATGAACAAGTATATCAATATCCACATATACATCTGGTTAAAGTTTTTATTTTTTTATATTGTAGATAATCCAGAAAAGGGTACTTGGGTAACTTTGAAATAGTTTAATCACAGTTTGTCCTGCTGAGCAGCTTCATTCTGTTCAATACTGTCACCACGATGTGCAGCACATGTAGCAGAGCACGTATCAGAGCCAAGGAGATGAGTTCACAGTCAGCTGCTCTCTAGTTTACAAAATACATCGTATGAAACTGAATAAATGATGAAAGAACATCAGCTGACATATCATTAGTGGAATCCGCTCCATACATCTAGTACCGGTTGGGCT